GGTGCAGATCAGTATTTGCTCTTTACATCAACAAGTGAAACAGTAGACAAAAGTGAAGTGTTCCTTCCCATGTGAGCACAGAAGTGTGGAAGCCGTATGAAAAACTCACATCGTAGTAACCTATCAGACTTCTTTACTTCTGGCTCAACATCCCACTTATCTGAAGTTACCTCGAGCTCTGGAACAATCCAGGCTTTGTACTGAGGAAAAAACTAAAGCACATGTTTTTATGCACTAAGCTCTTGGTTCTACATGTGTATTTAAGATTTGATGTCTCACATGCTTGAGACATTCTCTTGATATTTTGATACCCAAACACTGATGTCTGAGTTGCTCATGGCTGGGTTTTCGTTTAATTAGTCTCTCTTTTGTGTGTTGTATTTATTGTTATTAGTAATGCCAGACGGTGGTTAGCGATAAAAGCGGATGACTCTAGTCCTCCTGCCACGCAGGTTGGAAAAACGATTGTCTAATCAGGCCTCACCTGTGTTCATGGAGGGTGCGGCTGCAGCGCATGTGACTCATTCATATCAGCCTTCAAATCAAGAGATTCAATCCAGCTTTGAAGAAAACCTACCTCCGGTAATCCTCTAGGAGCCCGGAGGACGCGGCCGGGCCAGACGTTTCCCCCTGAAAGCTTATATTCTCACGTGATTACAAAGCCCTTCATATGGATAAAGTTCCCTCTTGTTGAGGCTTCATGTGAGAGAAAGAATATTCTGATAGAACCAAGACAACATACCCCTAATTCATTTAGAAACGGTGAGTTTTATTAAACATTCAGATGCTTCACAATCTAGTTCAGCCATTGTTTTAGTTGAAGTTAAACCCCTGTGAAAGAAAGGTGTAGCTGCTTATAATGTAGGAGTATTTTCATTATGGCATCCTTGATTTAAATGGTCCATAGAAAAAGTATTTGATGAAATGGGGTTCTGTTGGAGTACAACAATGGTGGAAGGCCTTTTAGGTTTGTACAAGTCGTGGCAGGCCATGTTTCTTGATTAACCTGACTTAATCACAGACATTGTTTTCTGATTGAACGTTTTGAGTCAGTGCCAAAGTTTTCCTTGCATCTTGACTCGTATTAATTCCTTTAAGTCACTTTTGTTTTATTTGTAAATCACTGCTTTTCTCAGGCTCTTAGCCTCCATCATGTACCTAATTCTGTTTCATTGAAGGTGTGTTTCAATGAAAAATTTTTTATAATGATTATTTGTGATCATAATCAGTCACTCTGCGTTTTTCATGCAGACTGAATATGAAACTAGCCTCCTACTCCTATGTTCTGCATTAGCTTCTGATAGAAAATAGGCAGTGAAATTATAGAGGTAGAAAATCTTGACAGATCTACGTCAACCGGTCGCATGGACTCACCCATACTGGCTCGCGACGGGGAAGGTTGTTGTTTTAGCGTCGAGAATCAGCATTGAATGTCTTGGTTTTGCGGAAGCTAACTGTTAGCATTAGCGACTACAATGGACCACATTTTATTATGTTAATTCTTTCCCACTGAATATTTTCAGTTTTAAGAGATTTTGAATTTCTCATGATAAAAACTTGTTTTCCTGTTTTACAGGATAATATCTTGTCTTCTTGGTTAATCAAACTTCTTGGGATCAACTGATATTTTTTATTGGTTAAAAAAGTGTCAAATTAGTGTGGATTCGCTTTAGGGTACACAACGTGTCTGCGCTGTTGTTGCCACAGTCTCAATGTGCATAGTAGCAACATGACAGAGAAGAGCGTAGCCTGAGATACACTACAGACTGTTTTCAAGTGACATGACTCTGCATTTTAATCCAGCAGACTCTCCCCTTGATGCCCGTTAGTGCACAGTGGTTTTGGAACATATTTGGTGTTTGAGTGTTGTGAAACGAAAAATAACCAGGTTTAGGTGGGAGGTCAGTGAATGTTTGAAATCTTTGCTTAATATGCCAACAAATGTAGATTTTTGTTTTCCAGTCTGTCAGAAACAATGCCACCCTATCTGGCTTCACTTTTAGCTATGTAAGCGCCAGCAAGGTCACTGCGCTCGGCACAAAAGGATCTGTTAGCGGCTCCTCGTCCAGAGGTGACCGTGTACTTGCAGTGTTGGTCCCTATACTCTGGAACCAACTCGCACGTCCCTCTGGATTTTTAAAGCAAGTTTGAAGCTGCGCTTTAGATCCTGTTGCTAGAAAGCCCTTGATTCAGTGTTTTATCTTGTTTTTGTTGTATTTTGGTTTTAAATGGTTATTTTTTTTTTTTGTTTCCCTCTCTTATTGTGATTTTACTTTATTTGATTTTCTTTTACAGCACTTTAGTCTTCCTTGGCTGGTACAAAAGGTGCTTTATAAATAAATCGAATGGAATAATTTTTAACAAAACAAATGTCTTTTAATCTTCTTAATTGTTTAGATCTTACATTATTACATTATTATAAATACCTGACCAGCTGCTAAAATCCCAGAAATCATCAGTTCACACGAAGGATTACAAAACAGAAAAAGTACATGGATTAATTTCCTGTTGTATTCTTGGGAAACATAAAGCAAAGCAGCTGTGTTTGTTTCAAATTTAACGAGCACTGATCCATATCTGATGGCTTCAGGACCTGAAACTTTCTGATGCTACAATTCTTGACTGTATCGAGATTTCTTGGACGTCTTATGTGAAGCAGCCGTCTGCTTTGATGAAGTCATGTGTTGGATTAGCTGTAAATTCTTTGGAGCTGCGTATTCTGCTTCAGGCTGAATGCCATTCTACCCCGTAGCTCCTATGTACGTTTTCTGTGTTCATGCCAGGTGTTGGATGTGTTTGTAACATCGAGGGGAGGTCCAAAGATGGTGGCTAACCCTTCAGATAGAAATTGTTCAGGGGCACACTTCAAAAGAAGGATTATGAGCTGCTCTAGCAAAGAAACTCATAAAAATTTAACACCATAACATCATTATAACGTCTATTTTTGATTTTCCCTAAAAGGGATGTTTTGATGATTTTGAAGTGTCTGTAAAAGTTACGACACACTTCAAAATGGCCCAGATACCCCTTTTAAAGACAAAGTTAACCAAGAATCTGTTTTTTATTTATTTTTGAAATAAAAGGAGCTGCCCGTGGAAAGAAAAGTCAAATGGAAAAACACATTTCTAACACTGCTTTTGTGTTTGCTGTCAATCATTTACTGACAGTCCTTTACCTGTGGCAGTACAGCAGCAGCAGTATGAGCTCACACACACACACACACACACACACACACACACACACACACACACACACACACACACACACACACACACACACACGCATATTTATTGGCACTGGCAACAGGGGCAGCAAGAACATTTCTTTCCTTTTGAAGCTGCCTTGTTAAACCCATTCTGCATTCCTCAAAGCTGCGCTTTTGGAGCTCTTACACATTAAAACTGTTGCACACAACCTCTGACAAACAACCATTAATCTGATGGTCTGCTGCTGGTGAAGCTGAGCTCTAGTTTCATTCAGGCTTCAGGCGACTGCTAGAGTCTCAGGTTTGCACGCAGTGGCTTCTCCATGCATAACACTGCAGATACCATCTCTTGTGGGTCGCTTCAGTGACGCTGAGAATAAAGCTCTTATTTTGTTAGTGTGTCTGAAATCTAGACTGGGATCACCAAGCTGGAGTAGGAAGGTAGGGACCCTTTTCTTTACTTTTTCACATGAAGCTCCATGCAAAAAATGTTTTCTCTACTCTGTAAAAAGTCCTGCTCGGAGTGTTGGTTTTTGAGTCTGTTTGCTGCTAACTCACCGTATTAGGGGATCCCTTTTGGTAAGATTTAAATTATTTCTATGCATGTTTCTAAACATTTCTGCAAAGACGATATGCCCAGTCTAATTTCTCCATCTGGGAGGAATGTACTATGAGATATGGAGCTGCATGGGAGGGGGAGCGCTGGCGTTGAAGTACTGAAGGGGTCATGAGTGCAGTTGCATTTCTGCCCAATTAACTTACACATATTCAGGACCATTCGTTTGTTCTTCCCATGAACAGCAGTTTAACTTCGGCCCTTTTTTCTGCCTTGTTTCACAGAATTTAGTCGTGACTTTTAGTAAAATTCCTTTTGTCCCACAGGAAATCTACTGAGAGGAAGCAGCTGTAGCTTGCTGCCATATTGCTGCTCCTCTGTGGATTTGTGATTTCCTGTGGTGCCGGCCAGTGCGAGTGTGAACAGTTCAACTGCTGCTGTGTACCTCACAGCGTCTTTCTCTCTCTCTCTACAGAGCATCAAGATGAAGACAACAAGATAGCATTAACTATGGATGTTTATTTCACCAGTGAAGCAGGCTGAACTTTGAGCATGGCGATATAAACTTCTGAACTTTACCAGCCAGGATTTTTGAGAAGATGATTCTGGTGGAGCTTTGAACTGTACTTCCTCAGACGATGGCTACGACAGAAATCAAAGCTTCCAGCAGCCCTGCAGCGTTGTCGTGGGCACGCGTGTGTAAAGAGTGCGGTCAGCAGCATGAGGGTCAGGACACCCACCTGTACGAGTACCAGGATGAGGTGGACGATGAACTGGTTTGCCACATCTGCCTACAACCTCTGATCAGACCCATGGATACTCCGTGTGGCCACACATACTGCTTTCATTGTCTCAGTAACTTCCTGAAAGAGAAGGACTTCTGCCCCGTGGATCGGCTGCGTCTGCAGCTGCACCAGTGCCGTCCCTCCAGCCTACTGGTGAGGAACCTGCTGGACAAGCTCAATGTGATGTGTCCCCACTATGCAGAGTGCCAGCAGCAAATGCAGCGCTGCGAGCTGCAGCCTCACCTGCACAACAGGTAAGACTCTTGGGAAAGATGGTGATAACTCATCACAGTGGCTTCGGGATATCCGTAGAAAATCTGATACCATGGGAGGTGTGCGATTCAAAAACATTTTAAAACATCCATGTATTTAAGAAGTCTCTACACATGACACTGGAAAAGTTTTTAACTGGTTTACCTCAGTTTTCTCCCAATTTCAATTTTTCAATTTTCTCAAGTTCATATTTATGATTTAATCACAAATGTTCACCTAAATTAGTTTATTATGATGGATTAATAATAATTCAACAGTTGAAAAATATTGGCGGCTTTATAACACACAACCATGAAAACAGGTCTAAAGTACATAGCGTGCTGGTTAGGGGTCATGCGCCTGTTTGATGACATCACGCTAGATGATTGGTTGGAAATTATGTTACCATGGTCAAAACATTTAGGCAGTAAGAAACACGAATTTAATAACAAAACTGCTAAACTCTTTCCAAAACATACATGAAAGAACAGAATCAAAAAAGAGATGCAATATATTTTGGTCGAGCTGTTTTGCCGTAGTATGATGACATCAGCAGCAGGCGCAGGACCCCAAGCAGATCCGGAAACTTGAGTGCCAGAAAACTACAATCGGCATTGCATTCTTTCATGGAATTTACTGAAGGACAAATCTGAGGAGTCACGCCGAGGTTGCATGCTTTCTGCTCCACGGGCAACAACATTTAACGTAATGTTTTTTTAAACTAGCGACAGTCATGGTGAAATTGTGTAAAACTATTCTTAAATGTATGTGCTGCCCCCTAGCACCAGGAAACTACACACTGCCTTTTTAAAACAACAATGTTCTTCAATACATTAATAATTTTTTGTATCAAAGTTCTCCCAACTGTTATTCAGTTTAAACTGTTGTTTGTCTTCATCCTCAAGAGCCACAGATTAGATGTTTCCCTGCTCTAACACCTTATTAAATGGTTGAATCACCTGTTCAGCATGTGAAGAAGCCTGTTCATAACCCATTGAAAGGTGCAGCAAAGCAAAGAAACCTGTAAAACACCTACAGTAGTCCTGGAGGACCAGGATTGGACACCATTGGTTTATTTTATGGTTTTGTTGGATGGAACAAAAATTAAAAGTACAGAAAAATGCAGTTTTTTTGCTCATTTCTGCTCAATATCATTGAAACGCAGAGTTCATAGGTGTTTTCCCAAATGCTATAACTGCATTTGCATACTTCTGAAAGGACCTGAAAGCAAAGCTCTTCATTTACCCATCAATCCAAGCTTTAGATGGTGATTGTCATGATAGTGATAATCAGATTCCTCTGTAGGGTGGCTGGTCCCATGCAGCCTTGGAGATAGAGATGTTCGACTCACTCGAGTTCCTTGGATGACCTCAAGAGGAGCCATCTGAGGTAGTTGGGGCATTTGGTCAGAATGTCTCCTGTAAGCCTCCTGGATGAGGTGTTTCTGGCGTGCCACACCAATAGGAGGCCCCAGGTGGACCCAGCACATGCTGGAGGAATTATATCTCTATGTTGGCTGGGGAATGCCTTGGGGTCCCACCAGTAGAGATTAATGGGGAAAAGAAAGTCCGGTCATCACTGTGAGGGCTGAAGCAGTGGTAGATGACGATCAAATGAACTGTGAATTTTCCCTTTCTTTGTCCATATTACAGTAGAGATGCAGAGAATGCATAGAAGGTTCAAACACCAGCTTTGTAAAACCATTTACCCCACTGACTATATCACAGATAAAAGAGCTCCGTGCACCAACGCCATAGTGGAAATCTCCCTAAAGTTCCTCCGATCAGGTTATCAGAATCGCATGTGCCTCTTCATGTCCTTTCATATGTCACCTATTGTGACCGTTACCCCTCTGGGTGTGAGTGCTACACACAGCCTTATCAGTACCAGGCTGAGGGAAGGTGCAGGACTGTTTTATGTTTTTCCACATGGACAGAGTGTTTCTTTTCACCCTGGCAGTCAGACATTACTCAGTTGTCAGTGGCGAGTTGCTCTCCTGCCGCCTCCCAGAGCAAACAGCAGGGATGCAGAGTTCAAGGACCAGGGACCAGTTGTAGTCTCAGCAGATACTCTGTATTGCTAAGAGTTTTTTTTTTCTTACAAATATTCATCATATCTATCTGTAATTCTGCTGTTTGATCTTCATACATTCCCACAGATCTTCGATTGCTGACACATTCAGAGCAATCTACTTCTGTTTATTTATAGTCTAATATTAATGTGCTGTTCTTGAGAATAGAAATAATGGTCGTGCCCTTCATGTCTGTTTTTTCTCAGATGTCCTGTTTTTAGGAGGCTGCGGGAGGAAGCCGAGAAGAGGAAGAGGCCCTCTTGGCATGAACTGAAAGGACGTAAGAATGATGGGGAGTCTTCTGGAGATGATAAGCATTCAGCTGCTCTGTCTCGAAATCCCTCCCGAGATCCGTCTGAACCCGGTCTCATTAATCCTGCTTATGAGGAAATGGAGGATGGTATGAAGCCTTTTTATCCTCATAACAGCAAAACAAGACCCCTACTCATGTATGATTATCTCAGAGCATGTGTTGCAACAGGAAAGCCTGAGTGTTGCTACTTGTAGAGCTTTATTGGCTTATTTGGAAACGCGTTCCTTACTGGAGTGAAACAGACACTTAAGTTTTGAAGCCTGAAGGGTTCGATGTTGTCGAGCTGAGGTGAATCGTCGGTCTCTCTGTAGGAACATGTACCAGCTCACAGATGTTTTAACCAGCTTCAGTGTCGGAAAAACCCCGTAAGCTTCAGATCACCCACACCATGAACCAAAGTCCACTGAAACACGGTTGCCATGCAACTGATAAGAAGTGTCTTCTTGGGCATTTGTGCTTTTGTCATCATCGTAGATGATTAATAAATATGCATACATATGTGTTTAAAGACCATGAGACTAAGATTATTGACAGAGAAGCGATCAGAGGATGCTGTCCCAGGAAAGTGCGGTGGTTCAGCGAGACCAACATCCGGTCCAATAGTTGCTTTCGGTCCAAAACGAGTTATTGTTGGAGGTTTTTGCGCAAATGCAAGAAAACAACTTTAAAAAATTTTTTTGTTTGTTTTTTTAATCTTCACAATAAATGTATAGCTATACTATGCTAGAATGTTTAAAAGGCATGAAAAAACATTTTTTAAGCTAAGTTGTTTTCCAAATTTGCCATTGCAGTTTTAACCCAAAAACAACACAACACAACTTTTAATGCCGCTGCTTTTCTTTGGTAACGCACACATTTACAGAGGCAGCTCAGTGCCCTGTCGGTGTTTGCTTGCATACAACACGCTGCTGTCCCTGAATCACCTGGTTAACGCCAGCTTTGCTGATTAAATCTGTCTGTGCCACATACTTCCTCCTCTTTTACACATGCACGCGCGCGCACACACACACACACACACGCATGCATGCATGCACACACACTGTGGCAGATCAGCCAGGAAATCCATCTTGTGTGTTCAAACATGACATGGATGTGCAACTAAGATGTATTAAGGCCAGGTGTGTGAGGTGATGGGTAAAATAGGTTGCTATGTGCTAGAGGAACATGGCAAATGGCCTGTATTTGGTGCAGTGCCTTCTAGAGTCCTAGAACCCCCCCCAAGGCACTTAACAACACAGTCATTCACCTCAACACACACACACATTCACTAACATGTGTAGATCAGGCTTAAAAACAGGCCACTGGTTGACACAGCAGTGGGGAATTTTTGCACGTTTCCAGTTGATGTTTATTAATGTTAATGTTTTTTCCTGCTTTGGTCAGCAGTTAGAGGTTGGGAAGATCCTTTTTGCTTTTATAAAAGAGAAGTTAAACATTTGCTCAACCAATCACAAACCAGATATGTTTTTATAACTCTTCCCATGTGCAACCTTATGTGTAATTTTCATAACGAGAGGCCCTTTTAACCCATTACCCCATTTACTAGAGCACAGTTTAGTCCCTGTATCTGACTCAGACATGCACTGTAAAAAGTCCTAAACTAAAAATGGTATAATACTACTACTAATAATAATAATTTAAACAAATACCTTACATCAATATTGCTTAAATATTACTAATATTCTCTCATTAATGATACCCTACATTATAATAAACTCTTTTTACCCCTAATGAAAAAAAGAAAAAGGTATTTTTATTGCTTTTTCTTGGTGTGTCCATGAAATAGGTATTTACATGACCACCAGAAAAAAATAACAGGATTTCCACACTGTTCTGTTAAATTCCAACAGAAAATACAGTTCCATTTGAAAATGCAGAACAATATTTCCCTAGTCTGTTTAAAACAACTCCAGAGCGCTTACAAATCTGAACTTCAACCTCTTTCACAAACATTCAGTGAACTTATGATTTGTCGAAAGAGGTCAGATGATTGTAAAGATCTAAAAATTAACCAGATTATGTAACCAGTTTATGTTGAAATGAAATAGAAAGTTAATGTTCATTACAGAGCAATCAAAAGGTCATGTGATCAAAAGTTCCACCTCATTACATGTAAGTAAATTAGTTATCAAAGCAGGGAAATAAATGCAAAATAAGCCACAATTTTTTTTTAATGTTAATGTTGTTGATATCCAGACTCAGGCCTCCTCCATAGATCTGTATCATGAAAGAGTTAACCAAAAATTCATCTTAACCTTATCTGGCTGAAGAATGTTCTCCTATCAGGCATCTTCTAGCTTTGTGAAAACAAAGTGTTTTATTTTGGAAACAGCTGTAGAACTTTGTTTTTTCACTTTTTCTGAACTCACGTTTTACCCCTAATGAAAAAAAGAAAAAGTTATTTTTATTGCTTTTTATTGGTGTGTCCATGAAATGGACTCACGTTTTATAACCCGATTCCAAATTTGAAGCATTTCGGAGTCAAAGTTAGGCCTCATCTACATCAAGCACAGAACAAAAGTGGACCAAAAGCTGCCGTTTTTGCTGACTGTGAATTGTTTATTGAATGTCTCTGGAAAATTGCTCGCGAGTTCCTGTGATAACGACTACATGCGTAGAGGTGAGTTGGTAAAAAAAAAGAAAGAAAAAAAGCCAGAGTTGTCTTCTCAAACCATCATACACTGTGAACCGATATCCTTGTCATTAAAGATGCATTATGTAGAAATGAAGTGAAAGTGACATCCTGTGGTAAAATTTGGTTACTGCAACTGCTTTAAACAACTCTTGAGCTTTCTGCCAGCCATCATCAAATTACAGTTGTGGCCGCTGCAGTATAAGCTTACAGGAGACACGGCATCCCCACACTCACTGATGGTAAACCGTCGTTATGACCCTCCTTCCTTTGTTTTAAAAGGAGAAAAACTGATAATCCCCCACAGCCAGATGGATATGAAATATGATTCAGTGTAACCTTCCTTCCAAAATGACTGAAACATCAGACTCTTTCGGGATCTTCTCATTGTACAATTCACACAATATTCTTACATACTGCACCTTAAAAGGGTTGGTCACCCTAGGTGGAGTCTTATGTCACCCAAACTTCCTGTTTGAAAAATGTACCTAAAGGAGGCACCGCCTGGCGAACAGAGAGAGTAGCGCTGAGGTAGTGACTTACAGCACCACCGCCACTCTGAGTTTCTCAGTTGGAGAAATGAGCCATTAACTAGCATGCATGCTCATACACACACACGCACACACCGCCCAATCAGATGAAACCAAATTTCTCTGAATGTAAATGGTTCAACCAAGCTGTGACTGGGCACTCCTTCTGGAAGTGACGAGACTGTGGAAGCAGTCCTCTGATTATGTCATCGCCACAATGTAGCATGTATCACCATCAATTACTACAATTAGTACAGTACAATAGGGAGCCTAAGTCTCCTCCCTTTCCGGTCAGCTGTTGGGTCCCCGGAAGAACGAAAACATGAATGCTGGGGCTAAAAACGCTATTTCCTAATCCGCTTAGCCTCATGCCCTGGATCACATATATGTTGTACTGCAATTTAAATGAAAAGTAATGATGGGTGTTTCGACTACGCCAGTCACATTCTTTGAGATGTATTAGCTTGTAAAAGTTCATAATTGGCATGACTACACACCAGAAATTGGCACGTCGCATATGTGACATCTCCACATAATCTCCTCTCCACAAAGTAGCTGCTACTTACCAAATGACCAGATTTATGGTGGTTCTTTCCTCCTGTGGGAAGTTAGCTGAACTTACAGCCCTTTTTCCTCAGTTTTCTCAGTGTCTGGTTTGATGACGTCATTTTCGTGAAGCGCATTTGTAGTCCTGGACTTATTTTCACACACAACCTAAAATATCGTTCCCCTCCATTCGAAAATAAAAGAGTTTTTGGTATCAAAATGCGTCTTTAAAATTCACGGACATCATATGTGAAATCCATGGCACAAAACAAGTGGAAATAGAAAATAGCATTTTTAGCCCCATTGACTTGCATTCATTTTTTCGTTCTTCCAGGGACCCATGATGAGGAAGTGACTTACACCGGGGACACACCGGCCACCGAAGCACCGGGAGGCGAAGCGCTCACAAAATTCGGCCGCTGCTCGCTGCTTAGTTCAGACCAGACGCTTGTTTCTCCGCTCCGGTCGAGGCGCGCCTCGTAGTTTTTCTTTTAACCACTTGGTGTCCTCCATTTCCTCTCTGCCTTTTCTCTGCTCTTTTCCTCTACACCCCTCTCCCCCTTGCTGTTTGTGTGTGTTTGTACGTGTGTGTGTGAACCTATGGTGTGAGCCAGTTGTTAATAGCTGGCCTACGACTTTCTGCCTCTCTGTCCTGTTTGCTCCGGTTGAAAGACACCCAAAACCACACCCCCTTCACGTGGTTTTGGGTGTCTCACACACACACACGCACACACGTGTGCGTGTTTGTGTGGTTTTTATTCAGTGTCTGTTTACGAACACATTTGGCTATCGCAGAATTTTATTTTGAAATGCTTTATTTTGTTAAATTTACCGGCCTGCCTCTTTGACTTCCTGCCAGAATTGATGCGGTTCACCCGCGGCTCGCGAAAAAAATAGAGCAGACGCCGAAACGATCGCTGCACGGCGCGGGCTGGAGCGCCGGCAAGCGGCGCTTCTGCGGCCCATGTCTGCGGCGCTTCTGCGGCCCATGTATGCGGCGCTTCTGCGGCCCATGTATGCAGCGCTTCGGCGGGCGGTGTGTCCCCGGCGTTAGGCTCCCTATACTGGAAGAACACAAAAGGACCAACACAAAAGGATACATGTCGCCACCTACTGTGGAGGAGTGGAACGCACTTCAGTCAATAATTTTAATCGTTTTTTACTGCCTATCTGCTAAAAAAAACATCTCTTCCTCCAAATCATGTGGAGAACTACCGACCTATCTCTCTCCTCCCTTTTCTGTCCAAAATCATTGAAAGGGTGGCTTTCAAGCAGATCACAGAATACCTCTCACAAAACTGTCTGCTTGACCCTTACCAATCTGGGTTCAGAAAGGGCCTCTCCACTGAAACTGCTCTGTTAGCAGTGACTTCTTTAAAAGAAGCTAGAGTAACTGCCAAATCCTCAGTGCTTATCCTGCTCGACTTATCGGCTGCATTTGACACTGTCAGCCATGGCTTCCTTTTATCCACACTCTCTAGCATGGGCATCACAGAGAAAGCACACGCCTGGTTTGAATCGTACTTCACAGGACGATCATTCAGTGTATCTTGGCTTGGACAATCCTGTACCGTGCACCATCTTGCCACAGGAGTCCCCCAGGACTCTGTACTAGGACCTCTTCTCTTTGCCATATACACCACCTCACTGTGTGAGATCATTCAATCACATGGCTTCTCCTACCACTGCTATGCAGACGACACCCAGCTCTATCTGTCATTTCCACCGGACGACCACACTGTCTCTGCACGAATATCAAACTGTCTCTCTGACATATCAAAATGGATGAAATCCCACCATCTCCAACTCAACCTCTCTAAAACTGAACTACTTGTCATCCCAGCAAAACCATCTATACAGCACAATATCTCAATCCAAAATGACTTCCTATCTCTGGCTCCTTCAAAGGCAGTTCGAAATCTGGGTGTCGTGATTGATTAACACTTGACCTTTAAAGATCATGTTGCCTCTGTTGCTCGTTCATGCCGCTTTGCGCTGTATAACATACGAAAGATCAGACCATACCTAACACAACATGCCACCCAGCTCCTGGTGCAATCTACTGTCATCTCCCGCCTCGATTACTGCAATGCCCTTCTAACTGGTCTTCCAGCCAGTACTGTGAGACCTCTTCAAATGGTCCAGAATGCAGCGGCGCGTCTGGTCTTCAATCAGCCAAAAAGAGCACACATCACCCCTCTGTTCATTGAGCTCCACTGGCTACCGCTAGCAGCACGCATCAAATTCTAATTGCCTAACACTAGCATACAAAGTCCGAGATGGTACGGCTCCCATCTACCTGAGTCCTTTGTAAAGGCTTAAGTCTCGGCCCGGCCACTCCAGTCATCACAGGATCGTCGGCTAGCAGTGCCTACACCACGCTCAGGACAATCCAGACTCTTCTCATGCATCGTTCCACAAATGTGGAATGACCTACCAAGCACTACCAGAACAGGGGCTTCCTTTTCAATTTTCAAGAAACTCCTGAAGACCCTGCTCTTCAGAGAGCATCTTCCCTCCCTGCACCTGTCCCCCCTCTCTACTGTCCACTCCTTGTTCCCTCCTCTCCATGATTGATGTCAAGTTGTTGTTGTTATTGTTGTTGTTAGCCTCAAGGGCAACATGCCGATTATCACTTGTAAGTCACTTTGGACAAAAGCGTCTGCTAAATACATAAACATAAACAGAATAAAGGCTACCAATTTTGCCTTGATCATTACGTAGCTTGACTTAGCTGTGCATGTAAACTTCACTGACCATTAGATACCTGGTAAATCTTTTTTTCCAAGGATTTTTTGCTTGTTTTGATCTTATATCTTTTTTTTAACTGTTTCTAAAATCTGATACCATTGTTTTTGTTTACTCATAATTATCAAGATGGGTCTTCTAGATTTGCCTCAGCAACTTGTCTTTAGACACCCAGGATGCTTTGTAAAGTGAAATTTTGGTGGTCGTCTTTTTCAGACAACACCCCCCAGAGGTCCAGTCTGGTAGCCGAGGCCAGCGTGGTGGAGCTGTTTAGAGAAGAACCTGAGGAGGATCTGGGTCTTCGCATCGTGGGGGGAAGAGATACTCCTCTTGGAAATATTGTTATCCAGGAGATTATCCGAGACTCAATAACTTCCCGTGATGGCAGATTGGCTCCAGGGGACCACATTTTAGAGGTGAGACAAAAGAAAGGGTTAGGCTATGCTCCCACAGTGCTAGGTTTTAAAGGTTTCCCATTGAATCATTATGGAACTAGGCTAGGAGGTTGTTTGCCTAACTATGTGTATACCTGTCAGATTCTCTTCTAAGCAGCTTGATTTTCTAAGTCTTTAAACGTGGTAAATTATTTTTTTCCAGGCATTCTGAAAGGCCTTTGAATTTTTTTGTTAGCACTTTGGCAGCTACTAACATTTTCGGCCAGTCCTTTTAAAAAGAATATGTTTTAAGTCTAATTGAAACTTAAACAATGAACCAGGAAAAACAAAAACACTCAACTGAACTGTTTTGGTGCGTCTTTGTTGCCTTTTCATCTTGCATAAGAATAGTTTAAGTAACAGCCAGTGTTTACGGAAAGATATTTTTAAAACTGCAGGAACTATCAACCAAAACATCTTTGTCTTGGCATGGAATGTAATGGAAAAATGTGTTGCTAATGACTTTAGCACAAGATTGTATTTCATATTTACACTCAACAAAACTGACTTTTAATACTAGACAGCACAAAGCACATCAGGGCCAACTAAGTGCAAATCCTACGTCCCTGCAGGGCACAATCACACTTTTATTCATAATTCATTTTCATTGAGGAAAAAAAATATGTATATACATACACACACACATTTATTTGTGTGTGTGTGTGTGTGTGTGTGTATATATATATATATATATATATATATATATAGATATATATATATATATATATATATATATATACATATATATATATATATATATATATATATATATATATATATATATATATATATATAATTTTAACCCTTTTTTGATGTATCCCCATCGTCTGTATTACACCACCTGCCAATAAGGTTTGAATGCTCCCAAAGAAACAGCTTGTATCTCTCATGTTCAGTGAAATAAAATGATTCTGATCAGGATCATGTGAAGTAGCAGGCAGCTGTCATGTTTCCTCATTTACATTTTTGAGTGTGTCTAGATGAATTCAGCAGCATGACCTATTTGTTAAAGGTGTGGAACACTGAAAAAACATTTAATTATTATTTCTGATTATAATCAATCACTTTGAGTTTTTCATGCAGGCCGAACATGAACAGTCTCCTACACCTACCTCCTGCATTAGCTTCTGATAGAAAATAGACAGTGAAACTCTAGGATTAGAAAAGCCTGACAGATCTACGTCACATTGTCACTTAACATTCATGGACTCGCCCATCTTGAGTCACGACGTGGAAGGCTGTTGTTGGTTTAGTGCACAAGAAACTGCAGAGAATGTCGTGGCTTATAGAAGCTAACGGTTAGCATTAGCATCTCCACAAAATGGCAGAACCCCTCCAGGCTTGTATTGTTTGTGGAGATAAAACATCAACGTTGCTGAGTAAACAAAGTCGGTGGCTGTTATCCAATCCAAGGCAAGATGTCCAAATAACAGGAAATAAGACTCCAAATCCTGCCTTCTGAAGCTCTCCTCTAATGTGGCAATTTTCTTGTACCTTAAACAAGCACATCTGAGCTTTTCTTCCCCAGAGTACGATTCATAAGGCATTCATTCATACTAGAGACCATTGCAAAGGTATTGACTAAACCAAGTGAACCACAACTTTAATATCTGACTTCTTTGTAAAAGTGTCTTCTTATAAAGGTATACAAAAGGTTTTACATGAGGATGCAGGAACACAATTTAGCAAGAAAATCTGATGCAACATTGGGATTCTACTAGATTACACACACACACAGTAAATCTACAAAATGTGAATAAACCCACCTGGCTAATTTAGCTGCCCCGCCCTGATTTCTTTTTTTTCCCCCAAGAGTGTGGGAAAACAGCATGGCGTGACACGGTTAACCTCATCAGTTTACATACACACACACACAAACTAGTAGCTGCTTTCTCATTGTAAACAAGGTGGTTTTCAGCGGGAATGAGAAGAAAGAAGATTTTCAAGATGAGCATGTTTTATCTCCATGGCGACGGGGTGTGGTCACCAGGCACATAAACATTCGTCATTTCACAGGGAGCAACTGTAACTGGCTGCTGTTGCTGACTGACTTACTGCCTTTTGCTTTGAGAAGGTTAAATGTCAAACATGTCCGGACGAAACACTGAGCTTCTCTATATGCTGTTTAACAAAAAAAGGTTGCTTTTTTTTAGATGTGTAAGTATTTAATGTTGTAAGCTTTTTCTGTTCACCTCTTGATGAGAAATTGAAGATCATTTTTGAGAATGTGTTGTAAAATTGCAGAAACCCTCTTGATTCTCAGCGCTAAACTTTAGGATGACCTGGTAGGAGATGCATACAGGGCTGACAGTGTCTTCTGAAGCTACTTTTCCCCTCTAAAGCCAAATAATCCCCAAACTGGAAATGAAAGATAAAACCCCGCCAGCTAAGAGTTATGAAATATGCTGGAGATGATTGTGGATTTCATGACTGAGCTCTGAATCCTGGAATCTCCCTTTCTTCCCTGGAACAAACAGATTAGTTTTTTGCAAGGCTTTACTTTCTGTTTAAAGTATAAACTCTATAAAAATGTTTTTATCCAAAGAAGACACAAACATACCTGTTACTAACAATGTAAATATTAGTGGTGCTGCTATAAATGAAGTTACAAAATGGCTTTATTTACTAAACGATCCTTCATGTAAACAACCAGATCCATGTACAGTATGTGTGATGGTTTGTGTTGAGCTGCCTTTCTAGTCGCTGCGTTTCATTTCTGAGGTGTCTCGTTTCCAGGTGAATGACGTCAGCTTGGCTTCAGTTCCCCACGCCCGGGCCATCACCGTGCTGCAGCAGCCTGCCCTCCTCAGGCTCACCGTCATGCAGGAGAAAGGGTTTAAAATCAGAGATCAGCGGTCCGATCAACAGCCGTCTACCTCCACTGCCCCTCAGTCCTCTCACAGTCTTCAGGGCAGCGCTCCATCCATTCTGAACATGGGCAAAGTCCTGCATGTGATGCTAACCAAGACTCACCGCACGGAACCGCTTGGCATCAAACTCATACGCAAGTCTGAGGAAAGCGGTGTTTTTATTCTGGACCTTTTACCTGGTGGTTTGGCTGCCAAAGATGGAAAATTGAAGAACAATGACAAAGTTTTGGCCATCAATGGACATGACCTGATGCACGGTACACCTGAGAGCGCTGCCCAGATCATACAGGTAAGATAATGGTGTCACCGTGCGTACATGATCTTTAGCCATAATATCTCCTGATACACTGTTTTATTAGAAAATGAAACCCTCAGAACGTAATCACTGACAACAGCTGACTTACATTTGGAGTTAACCTGATTCAAGATGGCCACCGCAGCTAGTCTTTAAACACGCAAAAATGATCAAAACTTAGTCGGTTATACAGAAATTGAGCTAAAAATGCACGAACAGATTATGCAAGGTCTTGTGTGAAGTCCCACTGCAGCATGCAGCAAAAAACAACACATTTGTTATTGTTTTCTTTCAACTTGCATCAATTTAACTGCCAACAGCATCAACTAAATCAGCAATAATGTCCTCAACTCATTACAATGAAACAGGCTTTGTCTTTGGTTTGAATCTTTCTGGGTTAGGCTTTTAGTAGCATCAATCTGACAAACTAAAAGGTGGTCTACCACAAACGACAAGCTTTTAATCAGTCTGTTGGGTAGACAAAGGTCTTCATAAATTCACAAAATAAAACTTCAAACTAAAAATGAGAATTTCAGAAAATTGCATTTGTTGTGTAAGCTTGTAAAAATGAGGTGGATGTCATTTCATTTTATTTGTTTATGACCCTATGTGTTGTAGGTCAGTGAGAAGTGTGTGAACTTTGCAGTAATGCGGCCTGCAGAGACTCAGGAGGAAGGAGGCGGCAGCAGGGAGGGACAACACAGCAGAGGAACTCGACGGGCTCCAGAGCCGCAGTACTACAGGCGTCAGTCCACCTACTTAAAGGTATTAATGAAATATTTACTCCGAGACCAAGTATTTGTGATTACATCCCTGTTTGTACTCATTTCTCTTGTTTGTGATGTTAGCTGTGCAAATGTGTACAGATCTCAGTCAAAACGAGCTCACACCAGCAGCGTATTTAATGCATAAAGTTAACTCTACAGCTCTCCACCTAAAGTCACATGCAGATGGTCATAAGATTGAGTCATCTGTGGAAAAATGTCCAATGTGACCTCATGTGATGTGAAATAAGTGGATTCCTGCCGTGTGTGGGTCTTTTGTGTGTTTAGTGGCACTTTATCCACCTCATGGTTCAGCAGATGTAGGTGTCTTATTTACGCTTGCAGTTTGAAATAAGGAGGTTTACATACCAACTTCAATGCAGAAGCCATCTAATGTGGCAGTGTGTTATAGTCAACATCCTTGAAGCAAACCCTAGTCCTCAGGTGCGCCCCCTGGTGGAATATTTATTAAAAAGGAAATCATGTAGCCCATGGCTGAGCGGGTCATCGGGTTATCAAACCAAACTAAGAAATCTTGGATGGTGGTTACATTTCTGGCCTTTTATTGTCCACTTGTTTAAATGATGATCAGTGGCTGTAGCTGTGGGTAGCTGGAGCTGAAGTACCTCTGTTAGGTCAGTCTGATGTTTGCTTTAGTATTGTCCTGTTAAACCATACACGCTCAGTAAAACGAACAGCTGGGGGTGAGATTTTTAGAGCAGACACCTGCGTTAATGAGCAGAGATGAAAGCTCCCCAGAGCTGCTCACTCTGCCGCTACGGGGCCACTGTCTTGTTGTTGTTTCGGTTGTTTCTTTGGAAGGCAAGAGGATCAAAGCTGTAACAGTTAGCTTTTGCCTGTGGAGTCGAAGCTTTTCGTCTTGCTGGGGGGGGGATGGGCGCCCTGCTGTGGGAAGGAAGACCTCCACCTCCCCCAAGCTTCCCTTCTGACAGTTTACAGACCCCAGAGAGCATCAAGGAGGCTGGTTGGAGTCGTCATTTTCCACACATCTTTTCCACTACGAGAAGCGAGTGCTGATCCTCACACGTGGCCTCTACCCTTGCCTCTCAGCTCCATCTCAAATGTTTCACATTTGTTTCTACAAGTGGCCCTCAGGGAGGGATCTATTAGGTCACAGATTCTGAAACTGATTAGCAGCACAGACTTGATTCATTTTTCTCACCAAAGAAGGACATTTATGAATTTATGCTTCATGATTTAGATAATAAGTCATTTATTACTACTTAACGGAACCTTTTTTGTAATATTTCCTGTTCTTTGTCCAGGATCCTTCTGGTGGCTTTTTTTGTCAGGAGAAGACCGTGAGCTTGAAGAAGGAGCCTCGAACTTCTCTGGGCATCACCATCGCCGGAGGGAGGGATTGTCGCAGCCGGCTGCCCGTCTACATCACGAGTGTGCAGCCTGTTGGCTGTCTGCATCGAGATGGCACCATCAAAAAGGGTACGCAATTACATCTGAAATGAACTGACACCCTCTACTCGGCCTCAGAAGGGTTTGGATGAAAAATGATGGGTCACAAAATCAAAAATGTGTAACCAAAATCCAATAGGGCACAGAATAAAAAATAAAGTGGAAAAATACAGAATAAATAATAATGTACAAAAGCAACGTTTTAATACAGAAAAATAATCTGTATTATTTTTGCTTGTTGAGGAATAAATGAACGTATAATCTGATCTAAACAGGTTAATATGTTTTAATACTGATATTGTAATAGTCTCATGTACAGAAATAGAAAAGGTGATTTTGGTTTTTGACCAGTTTTAATTATTAGCTAATTGGTAAAAAGCATTTTCCTCACCTGTGGTTGAATAAAAGGTGAACCTTATTTACTGTAGTTGTGGCTAAATGAAGATTTAGTCCCTGTGAGTTGGTTAAATCATCATACAGGAAGCTCAATGGTTACACATTTGTGTATAAACAAATTGTGTCACGGTGCAAAGACACACAGCGATTACATTTACAACATTATAATTTTCCATGTTATCCTAAATCAGACAGTATTCTCATTCTGATGCTTACACGAGCTGCAAAGCTGCTGATTACATGGAGACTTCTAGTGATTTGGTCCTGCAGGCACCCGTACGACTGAACAAAAACATAAAAGCATTGTAGATGCTACAGATGATAAGCTGCTGAAAACTCACAACGGAAAACGGATGAGCTGAAACTTTGTTTCACAGCTGTATGAAGAATCTACTCTTCTGCCATTTCTGATGCACAGCAGCAGCTACAGAGTTTAGAGCCACTGAAGAGTCGGTAGAAACTTACCCCTCTTTTCTACCGGAGCCGTCAGCAGCACGTTGCTGCAGCAGCATGTCTTGCTCGCGTAAGCTGCTGCTTGGCCCTTCCCACCAGAGACGCGTAGCAGCAGGGGAGCAGCTGTCACCGACAGAGCACGAAGTCACACGAGTAAACACAACAACAAGCAGGAGAAAACTACAACATGGCTCCAAAATGTTTGTGTTTTATGTTCTGTCTGTTTTATAATCGCCAATACGGACCTGAAAATCAAAGGAGACCGCTAGCTAGGTGATAACTTCTCACGGGGAAGCACAGTTTGTAACTTTTTTCAAGTAAAGCAACCGGAAAGCCGTACATTTCTTAATTCTGAAAATCTTGGGAAGCTTCGCTCCGTTTCCGCGTCCGATTTCCTGTCTTACCTTCCCCCAAAAATGTCGAACTTGACCCGTTTCAGAGGTGTAGCGCGTAGAAAATAGAACCGGCGCGTAAGGGCCGCGACATGCTGCTCCTGAGATGCGGCCGACTCGCGCTGCTGACGGCTCCGGTGGAAAGAAGGGGTAAGACGTTACTGTCCGGTTGTCACTAGTACTGCCATTGTTCAAGTCCTCCTGGCCATGTTTATCTTTATCTAAATCGGTCAAAAAAGGTCCTATCTGCATAAAAACATTTACCTTATTTTCAGGACAAGCTTAGCTTGCGATATCTGTAAAGATTTTGCAGTTATTTTGTTTTAAATGACCCAAAATAGCATGTAATAACAGAAAAAACTAAAAACGGATTTGATTTTTCTTCAGAAATTTATGGATAGAAAATACAAATGTACATGAATAAAAAATCTGAAATGGCATAAATGTAACCTAACATGGATTACAACCTTGTATTGATTTTTTTTACATGTACAACTTTCAGTGTCTGAGTTTCAGGTGATATTGTCTGTCAGTGTTCAGGCGTATTAGCTGCTGTGGTCTTCTGCAGAGCAATTCCTGTCCTGCTGCAGACAGAACCCTTCCTTGCACTCTTTGCACATCCAGGGAGTGTTTGTTGCACTGAGTGTACCTGTTTCATCCATGAGGGGAAGCTGATAGCCAGGGGTTCTTCTGGAGATAAATCTGGGTGGCGTGAGTCGACGGTACCTGGGTTTGACTTTGTTGTCCAGGAGTCCAGAAGATGTGGAGCATCTCCAGCAAGATCCTGTCTCTGACATTGCCTGTTGCTGGTGATGGTGGATGACTCTTCATCAGAAGAATCTCTAAAATTAAAAATATATCAAATTATATAACATTTATTCAAGCAGTAAATACTGGAAAATGAAAACTGAATAAAATAAAATACTGAACTAAAGCTAGAAATATATTTGAGAAAAAAACTATGGTTGGTAAAACGAGTACAAACACAGCTAAACAATGTCAAAAATTACTAAATAGATCCTAAAATTACTATATACAAACAAAGTAAGATATTTACTGGAAATATTTATTATTTTTATCAGCAGAAGAGATAGAAGTTGAAAATATGCGTTGAAAACAATTCCTCCGCTCCTCTAGGAAGTGTGATCATTTCCTGGTTCTTGGGCAGGGACTTGCGTAACATTACCGTAATGTGTTGTATACCACTGGAAAGCGTAGAGGCTCAACTTTCAGAATCTGTTGGAATTAAGTTGATTGCAAACGGCTGAAGAGTTACGGTAGTTCAAAGTATGGAAGCCATTTTTTGTCGGCACCGACACAACCGCAGTAGAAGCGTTTTAAAGCAATGAGTCGTGCAGCTACCATCCTTTTAACCACACACTGTTACGTGGAGTTCTTCCTCACCTACAGGTGTGGCTGCTGGAGACTTAAGGTCTGTGGGGAAAACTGAATAGATGCAAATGTTGGATTAAAGAGTAAGATGGTCTAAAGCGGGTCATATCTGTTGAGGTGTGATTCGCTGAAAACTCATTTTTTGTCCAGACACATCCAACTGTACATCTCCTTTAAGCCCCATGAGATGTCTAAGCTGCAGCTGTTACACACCTGCTTAGACTCTATCAAAACCTGGATGGTGGGAGCTTTCTTCAGCTGAATGAAGATAAGACTGAGATCCTCATCTGTGCCCCAGACAAGCTGGTTCCCAAAGTCAGAGACTCTCTTGGTCAGCTTGCTTCTCACACCAAACCCTCTTGTCAGGAATCTTGGTGTGACCTTTGACCTAGCTCTCACCCTGGATTCTCATGTCAGTTCTCTTATTCGCTCTTCCTTCCATCTCAGGAACATTGCTAAGCTGAGTCCCATTCTGTCCCGCTCTGAACTTGAGACAGTTCTCCACACCTTCATCTCCTCACGCTTAGACTACTGTAACTCTCTTTTCACGTGTCTGAGCAGAACCTCCCTGAACCGTCTACAGGTGGTTCAGAATACCTGTGCTCGGCTTCTGACCAAGTCCTCCAAATACACCCACATCACCCCGCTTCTCCTCCAGCTTCACTGGCTGCCAGTCAACTTCAGGGTTCATTTCAAGATCCTGGTTCTGGTCTACAGGGCCTTACATGGACAAGCACCATCTTACATTGGTGATCTTCTTAGTCCCTACACCCCCAGCAGGTCCCTGAGGTCCAGTGATCAAAGCCTACTGGTTGTGCAGCGCACCAGGCTAAAGACCAAAGGTGACAGATCATTTGCTGCTGTGGCCCCCAGACTCTGGAACTCTCTCCCCCTGAGCCTGAGATCAGTGGACTCCTTTAAAAAGCAGCTGAAGACTCACTTGTTCAAAGTGGCTTTTGTATGACCTTCTTCACCACTCTCTCTTTATTCTGCTCTCCCCACCTATTCCACCTTCCTCAGGATCCACTGATTTCCCTCTTTCCTATTCACCCTCTCTTTCTTAACATTTTTTTATCACAATTGCCTATTTTTGCTCATTTTAAATATATTTTTAAATATTTTCTAAATTCTTTTTATATTTTAAAATTTTTTGATTTTGTGAAGCGCCTCGTGATTTTTATTTTGAGGCGCTATAGAAATGATATTTTCTTCTTCTTCTTCTTCTTTATTGATTAATTATGATTATAATCTGTCTTTTGAGTTTTTCATGTAGGCTGAACATGAAAATAGTCTCCTACACCTATCTCCTGCATTAGCTTCTGATAGAAAATAGACCGTGAAACTCTTAGAAAAGCCTGACCTCTACACTACATCAAGCTGTAGGTTGGACTCGCTGATCCTGATTCGGAACAGGGAAGGCTGTTGCTGGTTTAACCTCCAGATGGCAGAGAATGTCTCAGCTAGCAGAAATTAACTGTTAGCATTAGCAACTTAACCACATGGCAGAAGCTCCTCCAGACTTGTTATTTGTGGAGATAAAACAACCATGTGGCCAGTCAGTGATGGTGTCATGTTGCTTTTATCCAATCTGGGGTGAGATGTCCAAGTATCAGGAAATAAGACTCAAAAATTCTGCCGTCTGAAGTTTCTTTCTCGTCCAGCCGACTTCTCCCTGTTGACACAGGCTCTTCTGGGATTTTTTCACCCAGAGTAAGACCTACAAGGCATTCATAACTACTCCAGACCACTGTAATTATTAAACGAGTGAACCGCACCTTTAAAGTAAAATTTTTTTTTGTACACTTATTGATCAGCAGATGATTTGAGATCTGATAAAACAATAGAGCTACTCTGATTAATCCGTCTTGGACCGTGAAAGTATTTGAGCTTTTTTAAAACCCGTTTTCTGTTCGGGGGGGAGCGTTCTTTGGTTATTTAAATGTCTTGAGTTTAAAGACTGGACACTGGCTCCACACTGGTCCTTGAACTGCTTTTGTCTAAGAAGGGTTAGAAATGACAATTGGTTGAATAGGAAAAGGGTTATTCTGTTTTCTCGTCCTGCTTCCATTCAGGAACACAATGTGTTGCTCAAGGGTCATTAAACAGAGGGGATGTGTGCTAAAGAAACCTGAGCTTCTCTGAAGTGTCAACTCCTAATCCTCTTCAGTTTTAATTCATCCAGTTAGTGACAGCAAACTGAAATCAATCATTTTATAAAAGTAAAATGGATCCAGCTGAAAGTTTTTTATTTATCTGTCATTGATTAAAAAGGCTGATCAGGCATGATCTTGTGGCGAATAATTAACTCCTCTGGTGTTTGAAATGTTGCTTGTTTTCTTTGGAAAATGTCTCTAACACACATGCCCACTGGGGACAGGATCTTCCCAAGCTGCATCACAGTTTGGTCATTTTATGGCAAACAATAGGTGGCTGAAGGAATTTGGCACAGGATGGGAGAGAGAGAGAACCTTCAGGATGAGGAAACCACTTTAAGGCAGAGTGGAAAGACTGCGTCAGCAATCAGGGTTAAGTTGACAAAGAACAAAGAAGGCTAAAGTCTAAAACCTTGGTAGTGGTAGGCCTCCATTCTGATATAAATGTTTAAATGAAATTTGATGTAATTCATCCTATTTTTACCATTGTTATAAATAATTGGGAAAAACATGATGCATTTGTTTTAAACTCTATAAATCTAAATTATTATTGTGTGTGTGTGTGTGTGTGTGTGTGTGTGTGTGTGTGTGTGTGTGTGTGTGTGTGTGTGTGTGTATTTTTGATAAAAACTGATTAACCATTGAAATCGACCCAGTTCAAGATTGTTTTGATCAACATAACAAATAGGCTACAGTTTGGTGTCGTAGTAGCAGAAAGTGACCCACCTCATATATTTGTGCGTTGTTTTGCAGAGAGCAGCAGTGACAGCTCTCAAGTGTTTTTCCTCGCTTCCTCAGGTGATGTTCTGCTGAGCATCAATGGTGTGGACTTGACTCAGCTGACCTACAACGAGGCGGTTTCTGTTCTGAAGACTCAAACAGCGCAGTCCCAGGTGATTTTACGGGTCATACAGACCATTTCTGAGAACTCGGAGGAGGACACGGAGGGAGGAAACGGGGACGAGCTTGACTTCATGGAGGACCAACGAGATGACGCCCACACCTGGACTCCGCTTTGGACTCAGTGGTTGGGTTTACCAAGGTACAGCTGTGTCCACTGCATCTCTGTTCTTTTCCATTTTACACTCAAGTCCTCACTCAGACTCTTTGTCATTTAGTCACATGCACTGGTGCCGGGACATCGTCCTGCAGAAGACCAACAATGAGAGTTGGGGCTTCAGCATCGTTGGGGGCTACGAGGAGAGCCATGGGCAGCAGCAGCCTTTCTTCATCAAAACCATCGTCCCTGGTACGCCCGCTCATTTTGACGGACGCCTCAAGTAAGTTTTAATTGTCTACTTGTGTTAACCTGCCATTTCTCACCAGATTTCACGATAACTACATGCATTTCCCTGCAGGTGCGGTGATGAGATTGTAGCGGTGAACGGAGTTACGACTGTGGGGATGAACAACTCCTCCCTCATCCCCATGCTCAAGCTACAGAAGAATAAAGTCACGCTGACCGTGGTGTCCTGGCCGGGTAGTCTAGTGTAGCTAAACATATTTTATTCATACGTGGTGAATGGGACACACAGACACATAGCCCTGTTCAGCTGCACTCTGTACCATGAAAGTGTACTTAAATTCAAGCTAATTCCATTGATTCTTTGGGGTTTTAATCTGGTTTTATCAAGGTGGACCAATGACGACATAATGGTTCATAATCTAAATACAAACTGGAAGGATTTTGATCTTCCTGATTCTGTTCAATACGTTACGTGTTTAATGTTAGCGTCAGTAGGCAGTTAACATTTTCTTAGTGCAAAGTGAAGAGCTCTGTGTAGAACGTTAAAACCCGGACTCGTTGACGTTGATTGAATGGCTGATGAACATATCTACAGATGCCAAACTGCTCAGTTGTTTGTGGGATTTAATCTGAAATGACAGCACTTTAAAAACATGCAACAAGGTGAGTGAAATTACTGAACAGAATCAGAACAGAATCACAGATCTGCTCTCAAACACGAAAGGTTTCACACAGGCCATCTTAACTCAATTCTCAGTCTCAACACTCTTATTTATTCCCATCCCAATGATTAAATGTCCCACTTTAAAAGACTTTAAGAAGCAGGTGCCTTGTAGGGATTGGTGGACAAGGAGACGCGCCTTAAAGATGTGCTTTGTGTGGAACATGAATGAGAGCCCATTACCAGTGGCCTTGTTTGCATCTTTATACATGCAGGACCTGTTCAACAAGTAGCTTTGGTTATATGTACATAATCTAATCTGTTTCATTTTGTTCAATTAAAATCATACAAAATTATGTTCTATCAAGTCTTATTTGTGTTAATTTACTTCAGTTTTTATCTAGAGATGTTTTTAATAGGTGTCCAATGATCTGTACAGTTTATTAGACAGTTCACTCTGACCTCTAGTGGTCAGATGGACCCAAAATCTCAAGAGTTTTGACTCTTATTCATTGTTAAAATGTCTTTGTGTTTCATGGTTCTGCAAGAATGACATGCAAATAAAATGATACAAAGCTTGATTATTATTGTGTTCAGGATGAATGACAGTGACAGGACTGGTCACTCACACACACACACACGTCTCTGTACTATGGAAATCTTAAACAGAAATCCAAGTATTTTTCCCCCAAAATTTTAAAGATGTTTCTCCTCATTCTAGAAAAGTCTGTCACTGATTTGTTAAATCAGAGACAAGTTGGTGCGACAGCAATGCAAACACTCAAACATGAAAAGAAATTCATTCACTGCTTTAAAATCTCAAAGGAAACCAGCATGAGAGTGATGAATAAATTATTTTAAAAATGAGTTTCCATTGTGCAATTTGACCAGAGATATTAAAAACCTCAGCAGGCTACAACAAATTATTAAAAAATATAATCCATCAGCTGGAGCTTCACTGAAACTTGAACAGAGATCCAAGCAGCCAAAGTCCCACAAACCTGCAAAAGTAAGAAAAATGCTGAAAAAGCTCAAATTAACTCAGGTAAAAGTAGGGATGCTCGATATTTTCTGACTCTTAATATCAGATACTGATATATTCGGGGTCCCCCTCTCATAAAACGAAAAACAAATATATCATGCACATCTAAATTTTTAAACATTTTATGTGTAAAATCACAAGTGAAGGAAAAGTGGCATATTGGTTTTGTCTCCAGCAAGTGTGATGATGAGATGTATCACTAGTTAATGTATTTTTTTCTTTTTCTGCATATTGCATCTACGGCAATCAAACATTTATAAAGATCTTCAGATAAAAGCGAGCCTCAGTGAAGGTTCTTGTTTTAGTCATTGTTTGCTGTCAAGCTACACATAGCTACGTGCTGTGAGGAGATCATAAGTTCACTACACAGGGCAAATTTCTACTTCACAAGTTGTACCAAATAAACTAAAATGTCTCAAAACTTTACCTCAGATCTGTTAGTTTTAAAATTTGAGAGAGAAGTAGCGTAAGAGTGTGGTGTATGTGTATGGTATGTAAAACTTGTGACATTAAAAGACTGAAAACAATATTAATGGTAAACCAATTATATCAAACATCCCTAGTTAAAATAATTTATTTGGATTTTAGGACATCTTCAGAATAATGATTTTACACAAAAAGAATCAATAGCTAAAAGGAAATGTAGTTTTTGGTCAACTGTGACCTATGTGTAAACATTAGAGGCTGACTGATTATTGGCCGACCGATACATTCAATTTTTCCTATATCAGCCAATGGCCGAAATTACTGTTAAAAGCCGATTTAAAAAAAAAAGATTGGGCATCTGTGTGGCCAACTGCCATCACTACTAGACTGAAGAAAGGACCCCAACACCCCGTTTTTGTTTTTACAGTTTTGAGTTTGTTTTATATTTAAAGTTCAATAAATATTAAGAGATGTATTGACTTTTTAAATGTATATTGCACATTTGAAAAATAATGAAACACAAACTCTGGTGACAAATGTAAACCTCTGCTGCTGTAAAACCTCACTAAAAGCTTACAAGTAGATGGGAAAACAGAAGCAGCCAGCCTGAAGTGAAGCTTGCTGCTCAACTCACGGAGGTGGGCGGGGTTACAGTAGAAGCATGACGACATATTTTCACTCTGACTGTACATTTATGTCGATGCTCTGACCACTGATCTGCCCTTTAGAGTAGGAACAGCATTCCTGAGTTTTATAAATGTTGGGTAATTGCAGCTGCTCCGGCTTCCTCCCACAATCCAAAAAACATGACTGCTAGGTTAACTGGTCTGTCTAAATTGTGTGTGTGTGTGTGTGTGTGTGTGTGTGTGTGTGTGTGTGTGTGTGTGTGCGCGCGCGCGCTCGTGTGTGTGTGTGTGTGTGCATAATAGTTTGTCCTGTGTGTCTCTGTGTTGCCCTGCGATGGACTGGCTTTCTGTCCAGGGTGTACCCCGCCTGATTGCCCATTGACCGCTGGAGATAGGCACCAGCCCCCCCCCCCCCCCCCCCGACACTACATGGACAAGCGGGTTCAGACATTGGATGGATGGATGGTAATTGCAGCTAGTCTTGTTAAAGTTAACGACTCAGCACCTTGTTAAAGGTAACAAACAGCCCTCTGCAGTGGTTTCAGGGCAGCCGACTGCGCTCGGAACATCAGCTCATGTTGCGTTTAAATCAAAACAAAGCAGTGTAAAAGATAAATCAAAATGAACCCTTTATTTTCTCTCTCTCCAAAGGAAATAGGTCCTTATAATAAACATTTACATGAACTGTAACAATAATGGGAGGAGGATTTAAAGTCTGCTTCGCAGAGAACAATTCAACCTGTGGTTCTTTACTACTCCAGAGGCACTCTATTACAGTGAAATGCAGGAATTCCCTTGACTATAGACTCCAGAAAAATGACACAACCAATTGAGAGGATGACTGGAACAGGGGAGTTGTCTCGGCAACACATCAAGTATAGTAAAAGGAGGTGCTTCTTAGCCTCAAAAGAGCCCTGACACGGCACAAAGGGAGTAGAAAACTACAAAAACAATGCAAAGTTGGATAATAAAGAAAAATAACAGTGTAGAGTTCAAATTAGAATACAAATTCAAACATCAACGTTTAACAAAGGACTTGTTGGCAAAAACCACAACTTAAACTGCTGCTGGGATGCACTGCAGCATGAAAACTGACTCCTCCGGGCTCAAGTGCAATAATCAGTCCTAACTCTGGCATCAGATACACTGTCACTATATGGCTTACAAGGTAAACAGGTCCTTAGAAACTAGGAAGGTACATATAGACATCTTTCGTTAATCAAAACTATGGTACAGCAGTATATTGGCAAAAAAACAACTAAATAGCTATATGTAACTTTATATGTAAACAAAAATACACCAATGTACAGCTTATCCTAACATGGTATTTACAGGTCAAGTTCTGGTATGAGTGAGTTGTACAAAGGGTAATGTAAAAGACCGAAGCCAGGGTGGTGGTGGCAGCTTCAACCATCCAATCTACTTGTAAAGAGCTGGATTCAAAGTGCAGAAACCCAACAAGCAACCTCTACATCAACAGATCTGTTAGATCGCTCACACCCCTCCTCCCCCGGTACACGTAGAGATATATTCATATATTTATTTTTGTTCTAAATACATAAGGCAAGGGTACTTATGGAGGGTGGAGGCATCACATTCCTCTGAAGGAATTACTGACAGAACAGGTGTGAGTGAGTTTGGAGGGGTAAATGCACTTTTTTAGAGTTTTGTTTGTTTTCAACACATTTAATAAAAACACATTAGAGTGCAACAACGAGGAGGTGGAGAGCATGTCTGGTTCTGTTGGGGATCAAATGTGCAAATTCTGCTCTAAAGCAAAGTGACAGTGTTGCTAACTCTTAATGTACAAGGTACTGGGAGATGTACGGGCTCATCCGGAGGGACGCCCCTGCAGACCCTTATCCCATCAGACTGTATATACAAGGCACTACGGAGGAGATTCGAGGGCCCCGCATCCGGTCCTACAACAGTCCTCAGTCCGGTCGGAATATCGGATATTTGGGTAAGAATTCTATAAGAATCACCTGTACAGAGAGAGAAAAAGGAATATGTTTCAATACAAAGTGTTTAAACAGTAATAGGGCTGGGCGATATGGAAAATAATCATATCACAATATTAATTTTCGCATTGGTCAAAATCCATAAATATATCAAAATAAAAAGGAAATTGCTATATTTGTCAATCTTTAACATTCTCTGGTATTTCAAAATGAGATCTGAAGATATCAGAAGGTTATTTCTTATGTTAAAGATTTATTTTCAAAAGCTGAACATATCATGAAACGTTATATAATTGTTTGGATTAATAAATTAGTTTTATTTTAACCTATAGAGCTCCGGACCCCACGTGACTCTCAGTAGACGCCATTTTGGCAGGAAAAAAAGGTAAACAAACACGGATGTAACCATGAACATGAACGGGATCCGCTTGGATTTTACTTCGTCGGAGTTTACTTCACACTTTAAAACCGAAGAAATTGTTTTATATAGTCAAAAATTAAATAGACTAAACATCTCCGACCCTTACCGTGCCCCTGGGATACTTTTTAAAAACGTCAGAAGCTGTCGGAGCGGACTTGTTACTGGACCTGGCCGGGGAACCCCTTGGGATTTACCCGGAGGAGCAGGCGGCTGGGGAGAGGGAAGTCAGGGCCTCTCGACGCTACATGCCCCCGCTACCCAACTCCGGATAAGCGGATGAAAATGGATGGATGGATGGATGGACAAATAACAGATTTACACGTAAGTAGTTTAAATAGAGTGCTGTGCTGTTTGAATGTGTAAACTGAACGCCAAGAGAAATCACTAGTTTGATTTTTTCCCGTGAATAAAATAAATATGTCAGGCAGGAGCGTCTCAGGATCTGTCTGAGATCTGTCTCGGTGAGACAGATAATAGCAATCCAAAGTGCTTTTTGTGTGATCTGACAATTGATCAACCATTGCTTAAAAATTAAATACAGCTTAGCTGGTTAATTGCTGTGATCATAAGACATGTAAACGGCAGCACGCAGAAATCACGAGGCACCGTTTTACGTGATGTTTACTTGTTACTATGAGTAATAAGACAGAAAAAGCCACGCCAAAATAAGTTTAGGAAGCCCACTAAGAATCGTAATAAATGCATTTAAAGTAAATACCATACACAGTTGAGGAAACATTGGTTTAAGTACCTGATATGAAGTGGTCGCTGCATAAGTGAAAACCTTTACTCTCGGGATCCCACAGTTTCATTTTAGCCCGGTCACTAGCGCGTTTTATTACAATGATCCAACGTTTACGGCGTTCCGGATCTTGGGGAATCCTGTATAAGGCTCTTCCCTTATCTTGTCCGCATCTGTTCTGCATCCTGGGGCACAACAGGAATCTACCATATTTCCCGTTTGATTGAATTTTCTGACAATAACAAATAGCCTAGCTGCCGGCTTCTGCCTGCCTAATGGCGCCGTTTTGATTTGAACTGTTGCATGCCGGGAGAAGTGACGTCAACTCCCGGAGCTCTATATAGGAGAAAACTCAGTAAAACAGGCATCGAAATATTCTCAAATGTCTCTTCTTGTTTTAAATATAGCTTAGTTAAGAACAAATTATAAAAACAAAAATAGGGCCAAAAAAACCATAGAAAAACAATAAAATAGACGTTGCCTGTGCTTTTTGGGTCGTGTAGAATAGTGAAATAAATGTTACATGCATGGTGCTTACAGTAAATCTCTTCAATCTTGCTCTCATCTGGGTTTAAAACACCCTGCTCCAGCGGGTGGTTTCCCCCAACCAGCCTTTTTAGAAGACACACCATGTCGGCAAATCAGAATAATACTGCCACCATGGTGTGTCTTATGAACGCACCATGCCGGCATGCAGAAAATTTGCAGCATTTGTGCCGCCATGCTTGGTAGTAATATTGCCACAACAGCGTACTTGTGAATGCATATTGCGTCTTGGTGCAACAGAGGGTGGTGTTGTGTCATGTGGGGAGTCAATGCCGAGCTCCAGCAGGAAACTATTATAAAATGACCAAAAAGTAAAAGTTTAGCTTTTTTGAGCTGAATCATCTGAGATGATAAACTGGAGCAATGCAGAGCCCCATGAGCTTCTCTCAGAGCTAGAGCTCAGCTCACCTGGCCCTTCAGGGCTACTGTGAGTGACAGCCGCCTTTAGGAGCAGCTTGTGACAATCAGTAATATGTGCGGCTCTGATCGCAACAGAAAGCAAGATATGATCAAGTTAAATAGAAGTCCGCAGCAGCACAGAGACCACCCCCATACCCCCTTTTATAACACAATTGCGTAATCTTTGTAAAAAGGACATGATTGCGCTACATTACCACCACGATCTGACCACTTATAAACAACCAAAGGCTCCCTGATGCCGGCTCGGCATTGCAGCAAATTGGTGGCATTGTTTTCTAAAATAAGATTTTGTCACTACCTGCGCACAACATTTAGTGCTGCAGCACTGCTACTAGCCAGACTACATCCACACAACTGTCCCTTGTTTTGAAAGTCATCATTCGCAATGTCCTCCATCTCTTTTTCCGTTCGGAGCGCTCGTACTTTCAATTCTCACCAGCCAATTAACCCGTTACTGGAGTGGGCTAAAGCTACACTAACATTAGCCATTAGCAGCGTGTCCGTCTGGCTGCTCCTGAGCCATGTGGCGCTTTTCTTTATATTAAAGTTCTATCGACCTGTTCACATGTCTATTTAAGAAAAGTTATTTCAAAATATATATTGCTATTGTTTTATCGCCCAACCCAAAACAGTAATATGTTTCACTAGAAAAATCCTGAAGAAAGTTTAAAAAGGGACCTGCCACCTGGTTCAAGCATAATGTAAAAATGCCTCTTTAAAGGGCCTGCCATCTAATTAATCAATTAATTATGCACATGTTCAGTTGATAATTATGCTAATTGTTGTAATTGTATGAAAACTCTGAGTGGCACACACTCATAATAAAAAAAGGGTATTTGGGTGACTGTAGGGTAATCACCCCAAAATCATGGTATCTGTGTGACACTGGGTTGAAAAACCCAAAATGATGTAATTTGAGTGACACTGGGGTGAGAAACCCAAGATCATGACATTTGGGTGATTTTAGGGTGCCATACCACTCTCCCCACGGACGAGCCGGTCATTTTGATGTAACATTTGGGGAGTTGCACACTCCTAATCAAGAGATCATTTTCTCCGGTGATGAAGAGTAAGTGGCTGCACACGTACGTGGGAGTTTGAACTGGCTAGGCAGACTGAGACATGCACTCAACCAAAAAGAGAATTTTTTAAATGTTTTTGATAATAATTTTGCCATGCAGAATCGGAGCGCTTATGAAAGTAAAAGAACGCCTCCAACGGCCGAGCCGCTCGTTTTGATGTATGATTTGTGGGGGTGCACGCTGCCGTTCGAGTTGCAATAACGTCCGCGGAAGAATAATAATAAAGAGATCAAATCCTCCAGTGGACTGTAAGGGCGCTGCTATCAGCAGCAGGTCCCTTAATAAATGTTAATTATGTTATTATTTCTGACATTTTAATGTGAGGGTTATAAAATACCTCATGGACCGGAGTGAAGTTTACAAGATTAGAGTCATTTTCGACAGTTAAAAACTTTGGTTATGTCCATGTTAGAACTAGCCGTTAGCTACAACTGTTGATCCTGTAGAAAGAAAACATTATTTCTCCTAACAGAGGCTGTTCAAGAAGCCACCTGCAACAGGTTAGACTCAAACACACACACACACACACACACACACATGTGTGCGCATCAACACATAATTCAAAACATTAAGTGTTTCCTACCTACTAGAACATTTTATTTTTTAGTAAATAATATATTATTTCTGATAAACCCATAACTGAATTGTTTACATAGATTATACCTTTTTATTCACAGCTGGTTTGTGTTTTTTGGTATTCTAATAGTTTTCTTTCAAAGTGGATAGTAAATTTGATCTCATCAATGAGAAGTTTGTAAACTTTACCATAAAACTTTATTAACCAATTAAATCTGCGTCTATCATGGCAACCTGATACTTTAGTAACATTTTGAGCAGCTGATGCCCCAATGTAGCTTCAGTAATGTGCAATTTTTATCTTGTTTTTGTGTCATTTCTCATTTACAATAAAATGCTTTGATATTGTTGTCTTTTACTGCTAAACAAATAAAAATAAATAATTCTTTCAAACTGTTGCCTCATAAAATACTATACTGAACATTTTTCACAAGTGTATCAGCTAATATAAACTAATGGAAACGTATTCACACTTACAATGCTGTTTTGTGGCAGGATACTCACATATTCCATCATATTGTTGCTCTCACATTTTCTTTTAGTGAGTTTCCAGTGCAGCCCCAGCTAAAGACAGAAGACACAAACACAATGAATCAACATCCCAGTTGCTCTTAAACAGAAACAAAGAGCCCCCCCCCCCCCCCCCCCCCCCCCCCCCACACACACACACACACAAAGAAAAGAAAATCTGTCTGAAATCTCCCCTTCAGCATGGGGGAATGTGGCAGCAGGGCTGTCTGGTCTCACAGAGGTCAAACTGTGGCCAGACACCCTGGAGAGCTTCCTTTGTACCTTTGCAAAGCTACTAGTTGTAATTTGTTGCTGCGAGACAAAACAAAATTACCACGGCCTTTTACTGCCGACCTCACGGTCCGCTCAGACTTCTGGATCTGGCCTGAAAAAGCTCTGAGGATCTAATATGGCAGCTTGGAGTTCACAGAACAGATTAATGATGATTATCCATCACGGCCATGTTCCACTCACACCACACACGCTGACACAAACTAATTAAACACTTTCACAAGACCCGACATCCTTCTTACCTTGTGGTACAACCGGTTATTTTCCCACTCCAACAACTTCTGAATGGACCGTCTTGTCTTTTAAAGGGGAAAAAATGTGACTTTATTAGAAGAAACAACTTACTCATAACTCAGCTCTAACAGGTAAAAGTAAACAGCTGCACTTTTAGGATTTATGGACTGAACTCCCAATTTACCAGCCAGTAATTTCCACTTTGTTGAAGTAACACAGCCTTTTAAATGACACACCCTTGAGCTGGTAAGGAGTGCAACGCGTCATTTCAGAGCCACAAACCCAACGCAGGTCGTTATTACCCTCTGCACTTGCACAAATGCGTCTGAATTGCTGTAACAGCCCTGAATGATCAGCGCTGATGTGAGGGAGAGTTAAACTGTCAGCAAGGACTCAGGCTTACTCTCTTATTGAGGCAGATTACAGGCCACAGGCTGCAGCCCACTGTACAGCAACAGCACAGGCAGCCGCACAGAAGCCACTTCACGTTCACCGGCAGGTTCTTCTTCAAACAGGCATTCACCCTGCTGATGCTGGTTTTGAATTCCTCTGGTGCTACCTGAAAGAGAACGAAACCAAACATCTGAGGAGTGGGATGATGCAAGACATGTTTGACAGAGCAGAGGGATCAAAGAGGTGTAGGAAACCAACAACGTGCAGAGTGAGATCTTCAAATTCTATGTCCCTAGCTCGCTGTCCGAGCTTTAGACTGTTCAAGGCGAGGAGGGAGTCAAAGGGAGAGATAAGCTCAGTGCCTGTGGCCGTGCTGGCCAAACAACTTGAATGGATGCTCATTCCTTGCCGAGTCTGTACGCCATAAAACGGGGGTCGTAATCTTTTATGACAGGATGCAAAGGTCTCTTTGCAAACAGCCAAAGACCTCAGAATAAAGCCCAGCAGGGTCTGATCTGCACCCTTCAATCATCATAACTGTGACCTCATCCATCACATGTCACCCTGGGTCACAATGCTGAAGGTACTTTTTATTGCTCCAGACTTCCCTCGGCCTACTCTTACCCCCACAGCCTTTTTGTGTTTCTGCGTCCGACCCAGGAAGCTTCCCTTTCTTGTCTGCGGCACAGTCCTCATTTCATTATTTTATCACCTGGTGCCGGACCCTCCAAAACACTGGGGTCCCCACCAACCGAGCCCCAAACGCAGCTTACTCATTTACAGAGCTGGATTCAGGCTCTTTTCTATACAGCAGTACTCCTAATGCATCTCCGTTAGATCAAAACACACTCAGGGAAGTCTGAATGGGGAGTTTGGGGAAGTTGGGGCTGTTAAAGACCCGATGGAACAAAAGAATCACTGCAGCTTTAATTGCTCGATTCTTCCGGCCTGGATTTGAACAGAAAATAACTGTAGGAGTGCAAGAAAATACAAAAACAAAACAGCATCTGTACCTTTCCTGTGAGAACCGAGGGAAACTCTGTGTCAAATCTGTTGCTGAGTCCAAACCTGAAGGGAAAAAACAGCATTAAACATGGTTTAAAAAATATTTATAAAACCACGTTTGAAATCTGGTGCAACAAAAACAAAATAGTCTCTAAGCAGCACTTTAGCATGGATCTTGAAAAGGCCAGATCGTCGTCGTAAACGAGAATGAGTTCTCAGTCGACTCATCTTGTTAAGCAAAAAATAATTAAAAAAACGCTCTTTTATACAACTTTTATGTACTTAAATATTATTGCTCTGTCTAAAAAAAATAGGTCTTTCAAAAGGACTGAATTAAAATGTATTTAATTTTGAGGAAACTTTTGTTTCTATATTTATTGCATTCACGTTTTTGGACTTTATTAAATCGTTTTTATCTAGTACGTGTTACTCCCAAATAAAAACAGATGACTTTGTCCATCCTCAGAATGAATATTAGTAGATCTTGAAATATAGACTGCTAGGAAATCAGAGTTAGAAGAAAAAAAAAAGAGGAAATTAAATAGATTAGATTGGCATTGCTGTTATTATACCAAACACTAGTAAACTATCTAACACAGTAATTAAATACATTTGTGTTAAATACATTTTTTTGTTAAATTAATGGTAATGGTTGCTTTTCAACGGGCTGCACAGTGGGCGAGGTGGTTAGAGCTGTTGCCTTGCAGCAAGAAGGGTTCGCTGCCCAGCCTGGGATCTTTCAGCATGGAGTTTGCATGTTCTCCCTATGCATGTGTGGGTTCTCTCCAGCTGCTCTGGCTTCCTTCCACAGTCTAAAAACATGACTGTTAGGTTAACTGGTCTGTCTAAATTGTCCTTAGGTGTGAGTGTGTGATAGTTTGTCCTGAGTGTCTCAGTGTTGCCCTGCGATGGACTGGCTCTCTGTCCAGAGTGTACCCCGCCTGATTGCCCGTTGGAGATAGGCACCAGCCCCCCCAGCGACTCTACGTGGACAAAGCTGGTTCAGACAATGAATGAATGAATGAATGAATGAATGAATGAATGAATGAATGAATGGATGGATGGTTGCTTTTCAACAACTTTTTCTATGTCTTTAAAGTAACTTATTAATTACAATAACAATTACAAATGTAAATACTAAACATTTAGCAATCTGCATTGTTTTTATATGAAGTATTTTAGAGATCAGTTATTTTTTATATAAGCAGCAACACGATAATATAGTGTAGGGATTTTCTTGTTTTCCGTTAATGCAACTTTGTGCAATTTTAGGATCCAAGCTAACATCGGTGTGGTTGAGTTTTCACGTCTCTGTTCTCCATCACCTCCTGTCAAGTTAAAGAAAGTTGCCAACAGGGACAAATTTCCTTCACACGATGAAGATGATGATTGGGGAGGTTGATTTCCAATCAATGATTTCCAGTCTGCATTTAATGTCTGCCCCCGAGAGGCTGACCTTCACGCGTAAACAATGATTAAACTTACTAAAATGAGCAATCATCCAGTATAACGCAGAGCTCAAGGCAGGGACACTGATAAGATGACTGGTAAAAACATTACTGATGTGGAAGGACGTGATAAGACTTCTGGCTAACGGTTAATCACATGTAAACACAACTAACGTTAGTATCGACTGCTGGGCTAAACGTTTACGGTTGCCATGGGGACAACGCATCTTTACTTTGAGTTGTCTTTTGTTGTTCTGAACAGGAAAAATCCAAACAGTCCGAACTGAACAGTTCTTAAGCAGTTTTTTTTTTCGTTGTCATTTTCACGTTAGCACGCAGGCTAGCATCAGGCTAAGCAGGCTAATAATAACAAAGCGAACCCCAGGTCAAACAGGAAGTAGAAACACGGCTCTGCTTACACAGTGATGTGTCCGGCACCTCGCATGACCACAGGCTCCGGGCAGTATCTGGGCAAGTTCCCCTCACTCACTATGTGTTCATCCTCTTCGTCTTCTAACTCATAAATGGTATCAAAGTCCGACATGTTGGGGAGTAAGATGCTCATGACGTATCCTGCGCGGCTGCGCAATGACGCACAACAACGCGGCCTAGGTTTATGGCAAGACGTTGTTACATATAATTAGTAAGTTTTGTCCATCTAATGAGTATGTAGCTATAGTTTTATCCATAAAAAAATTTCTAGATTTATTTTAAGATTCGCATCAATGAACTTACAAATGTGTCGCAGCTATCCATGATTCTTCCTGTTAACAAATATTATTTTCCACATGCTCATGGATTAATTTAAACACTCATGATTATCTTGATGAGCTATTTCAGTGGACCAACTACACATGTGAAAACCCAGTTGTGTGTTATTTTGGGGTATTCATATGTGACATCAAATCAATGTTTGACATCTGAGAGTATTTTTGTATTAAACTTGTATTCAGTTAATGCAGTAACGCTGCATATTTTTTAAATACAAGTTTCCTTTTTATTCATCGTTTTTAGTGATTGAAGCTTACAATAACAGCTTTTGCTTTTGTGTATTTACCTGCAGCATTGTTATTGTTTGTGCTGCTGTAACAAGTAAATGTCACCCCTGTGAGATCAATGAAGCCTATTCTATTCTATTCTTCTATTCTATGACACAATAAGCTGTCATTTTCAGTCATTGCTGTGAATGGCAGTGATTACCAGTATCATTAATTTTGCATATTTATAACATGTGTTACTGCAAACTGCTGAGAATAGTTGGAAAGAGTATTTTTGTTTTGGAGGTAAAATTTTCTATTCATAGCATTTAGGAAAGGGTTTCATTCTGGATGCCAAAATTAGACCCACGGGTTGGTATCTAAATATAATCCCCCCCCCCCCCCCCCCAATAAAACATTATTATATCAATTCAAGATAGAAAGAATGTAAATGTCGATATCTGGAGCAAAGGCCCAAGTTTTATTTTAAGACCGTTTCTGTTTATGTAAATAAATTGATTTTAAGATGAACTGTAATGCAAAAGTTAAAAAGGGTGTGACGATTGATACATTAACAGATCAGAGCTGTTCCAATGCACCTTTATTTTAGCTGTGCTTGAACTACCAGTTAGTTCATCAATCTTGTTGGATTAAATTCAGTCTCTCCAGATTATAATCAAGATGCTACAAGAAATAATTTAAAAATTTTTTTTACAAAGACTCATGTTTTACAATTTATTTAAGTGAAACCTGTTGTAATAAATGACCAATTTGTCTGCTGTTAAGAAGGAGTCAAAGTTTAGGTTGCGAATGGGCACTTTATGGATAAAAGGCAGTGCATCTATTATAGCGTAGACTCTTAGAGTATAGAAATTAACTTGTTATGATCTCACACACACACACACACACACACACACACACACACACACACACACACACACACAGTCTGACTTAATCCCCAGAGATCAAACCAGTTCTATTTAACAACAGATAAATTGTTTACCTTTAGTAAAGTCCATTTTCTTAATTGAGAACCAGTTTAAAAAGACTATGGTAATATTTTTGCTTTCATCTTTAACTGTTTTTTTAATTAAACAACCAAAACTTGATTATGCCTCTACAAAAATCCCTACATTTAGCCTATGCTCTTACTTTTGTAAATTAAATTAATTTAAAGTTTCCTAAATTTATTAAAATAGGACACATTTTCTTAAGGAGAACAGAGTTACGCTGAAAAATGCCAAAAAGATCATTTAAAATGACCTACTTATAGCTAAAATTACAAATAAAAGCCTATTTAGACCACACGTAGCTGATTTTATCTGATTTATCATTTCAGCCTGACTAAAAGGTTGTTTGCAGCCTCAAAAGAAGGTAATTAAATTAGAAAACAAATACATGAAGAGTATTACTACAAAAGCACTTTATTTATGTACGTGTGTAATGTTGCCATTGGACCTGCATCAGTACAAGCTGCTCTTATATGCACAAAAACGAACAAACAGTGTAAATGATTTGTCAAGTAAACGCAATGAATTCCAATGCATATTTTCCATTTCCAAATTCCACAGGAGTGACCTTTTTACAATTTTTTTGCACAAACACATACATTAACTCATAAAAACAGGAAATTTATATCTTATAAACTCAAAAACAATTTAAAACTTTAGAAACACAAATTTTCTTTCCTTTTGCAATCCCCACATCGTTTTGAACTATTCTATAAAACCACTATTTGAAGAGCCTCCAGCATTCAGCTGCTATCAATCAAACGTTTCTCCACAGCCTGTGTGAGTTTGGATCCATTAGCTGCCTGTCAAGTGTTCTGTGAGTGTGTCGGAGTGCTCAGTTAGGAGAGGAGGTCCACAGGTGAACTACTGAATCACAGTCACTTGCTGTATATTCCTGATTGATGGCAAGGTGTTCATTCCAGGAGGAGGATACAGAGAGCTGTGGATTTCTGTGGGACTGAGAGATCCCGGTACCGGCAGAGGGCTCACAGAACCCGGGTCACTGTGCACAGACCCGCTGCTACCATCAGACTGGCCCATCTTCTTCTTGATCAACTTTCTCTCCTTTGCTCGACGGTTCTGAAACCAGATTTTTACCTGAAAAAGGCACAAAAATGGAAAATGTTTGGTTTTCCATTTATAGCCCAAATAATAACTAGATGCAACAAACAAAGCTTATGAAAATGTAGAATCACATTGAAAATGTGAATGCATTGAAACAGACCTTAAAAATAAAACAATGCAGATGTAACAAACAACCCGTTATTACTGCATTTCTTTAAAGTTTGTTTATCTAGATTTTGCACGACAAATTGAATAGATCATCATAAAATAGCAAAAACAACATATACACAAATGTGCACCCTCATTTATCTCATTTATTAGGCTACATCAAAGATAAACAAACAAATAAATAAAGAAATGTTTTTTGTTTTATGTTTTTCTCCCCCCACCCCAGTAAATACTTCAGTTCTATTCTAACTTTTAAACAACAACAAATTATCAAGTGAAAAATGCTGACAAGAATTTAAATAAAAATTCTGGCAACCCAAAACATGGAAACACACACACACACACACACACACTTGATCACATGAATGATTTTGGAGCCACCTTCTATTAACACCCAGACCAAACAGTGAAGACAGTTTGTTAAAGCTCAACTACGCTTTATGTTTAGTCGTTTTCCCGGGAGTCTGTCGGCTTTATTCTGGTGATGGTGGGTTAGTGCAGCGTTACTGTTCCTACCTGCCTCTCGGACAGACCCAGGTTGACAGCCAGCTCAGACTTCCTCCTGATGGTGATGTATCTGTTGAAATGAAACTCCTTCTCCAGCTCCAGCCTCTGGTGGTCTGTGTACACTACCCTGTATTTCTCCTTCGTTCTTGTTTTACCTGTCACGTGGACAAACACAGCATGAGAATAACGATCCTCTTTTATCATTACTTCAAATGCATTTTTTATTATTTTCTTTAATAGTCCACGTGAAGCCAAGACGGTGGGAATTCCACCCAGCACGAAGCCCACAGGACCGAGCGCCGCGGCTTTGTAATCAGCGTCTAAAATCCACATTTCTTTGTCTCCACCATCAGATACGCAAATGGAGCTTTTTGATTTGGTTGGGATGAAAGCGAACTTACAACATCTACGAGTCGGATCCTCCTCACACCAGAGAAACCCATAACAAAAGCGCTGAGACAAAATAAATAAATCGGCAGAGGAGCAGAATATGCGTAAAGGCCGACCAGAAAGCTAAAAGGGCTCGATTCGTTCAGAAATAATTCAACGTTTTAAGCCCAGATCCTTAGAAAAAACTTTAAGAGACCAGATAATTAAAGACAAACTGTTATGAGCGCCTTTACGCAAACGCCAACTTTATTGTTTTCTTACCCGAGAACTAAGCTAATTAAATACTAGATTAAAATGATTTTGTCATTCAACGTCATCGACGCATTATGGAGTTGTGGAAATGACGCGTTTCCTGGTAAAATAACTCTGGGAAAGGAAGAAAGGTTGGCGCATATCAAAGTAGGGAGGTGTTGAAAGCGAAAAGGCCGCAGCCTGGATTTGACGGATCACGCTCCCAACAACAAACAACGTAACAGGGCAGCCAGCCTCACATCTCCCAGAATCATGGCATTAACATCACAACATGGGCATGGCGCCGATTCCTCACACCTTTCTCTTCCTCCAACTTTTCTCCCACCACAGCAGATAACATTTGACTTGGGATAATTTAGTCTTTGTTTTGCGCCACCTTCTAGTTCGCATTTATTTATTTTTACACAAAATCTCAACCTTTGTATTTTTAGGATGAAGTGGCGTGTTTGCGTAAAACCCAAACGCTCAGGCGCGCATCGCGTGTTCTGGAATTCACGAATGGGGATCTCACCTGTGGAGGATGATTGTGCGGTTTTACTCATCCACTGATAGGAACTGCGTCTTTCCCTGTCGGGAGAAAGTTGTGCAACAGTGACGTTGTCCGGCGGCGGCTGTAGGACCGCGGACCCGGGAGGATGCATGTGACCATACTCTGGTGTACAGTAAGGAACCGGTCCAGATGAGTTGTTCATGGGGGGCGGAAGAGTATTAGGGGGTCCCAGGCTGTATGCTCCCCAGTCCTCCCTTGGAGAGCCGTAAGAAGGGCCCCAACTGGGCCCGGACTGTGTGTGCGTATCCATGTTTGGCACATGATGGTATCCAGTAAAGTCTGGGTACTGTGGCGTGGAAACAAAGTTCTGTGGTGGCAGATTGATGCTCGATCTTCTCACTGGTCCTTGATGATACATCCCGCTGTCTTTATCCAGTAGGTATCCAACATACATGTTTTTGTAAAATCGCTATGAAATTGTTTTTCAGCAGCAGAGGGTTAATGCAGCCAGATTTAAGGCGACATTGTGACCCTGCGGATGTTAAATAAACGATCCCTGCGTAGTTTATAGTCCAAACGGGTTCCCAGAGTGAAGCACGGCGCAGTTCCAGTTTGTCTCCAGCCTCACATGATGTGTCTTAGTTGACAAGAAGCTAAAGGTATACTGAGGCCTGTCTAACGTCAGGCAGCTCCTCGACTCTTGTGGATTTGCATCCAAAAGAGAGAGACCAGAGTCGCCAGCCCTGCTGGCCCCTGCAACTGTCCCCGGGCACGTCATCACCTGAGAGCGGGCCTATCCCGAGCACGAATTGTCCTCTCCATGAATAAATTATCTCCGCAACCTATCAGCTGCACTAACCAGTAATTAACCCGGGCTACACCTTTGGACGGGAGGCCTGTGCGTAATCACAAACGGATTAGTTTAATCACAAATAAGGAAATAGTTCTCCTTCCAGAGAGAAATTCTCTATATTGTTTTTTCCTAATATTGAATAAATCAGGTAAATACTCATAGTTTCACTCCTCTAATTAAAACTCAGATGTTAGAAATGCTTCTGTGTGAAACGCGTGGGAAAATTCAGGGCCTCGGACCACGCTTCACACGTATATCCCGACGTATTTGTTAAGATATTCACTTGCAAACGAGGTGCAAAGTATGGGAGACTTTTCCTTACAGCAAGCCGGAGCTTTCGTATTCGTTCACACCTCAAGGTCGCACTTCACAGCTAATTCCGGTTACAAGGAAACTCCTCCAACCCCCTCTGAGAGACAAACAGCGGCCTGTGACACAGCTCCCCTCTGAAACGGCAATAAAGGAGTTTTTATCTGTGACTTTACACGAAGCTGCTGCGCAGCTCCGCGTTTTTTGTGCGTGTCTCAGTGCTTGATTGTTGATAGCCTACTGAATAAATAATGAGAAATAATCTGCTTCAGGCCTGAACTTTGTCAGTAAAACCATCCGAATTAGGTGTTTATTGGTCACAAACCATTTATGAGACAGTTGAAGCAACTCTGTTACCTCCTAAATATTTAAAAAAGAGCTCTTCTCAATCTGTTTACTTATGAAAAGATTTATTGGTGATGGAAGGTGAAAAAATTAAAACTGCAGCTTTTTCAAACACAGGATTTATGAGCAGAGACTCAAATTAAAACATAAGAACCAAAACGTGTCAGCTCATTAGCATTAAATGTGTTTTCATTCAAAACGGGCTAAGAAGCAAAGGGTAAATAAGCATCTGCTTTTATTTTCTCCAACATCACCTCTAGAAATGATGTTTCTATGTTCCCAGTGCGTTATGTCACCATCTCACTGCTTAGTGATGAATCAGCGCTCCAATCACTTTTGAACAGGACGTTGGCGGAAACTAACTCACTGACACCCCCTTGTGGGAGAGAACAAAACCGCACACAGACGTTAGCCTCCTGACTGTCGACACACACACACACACACACACACACACACACACACACACACACACACACACACACACACACACACACACACACACACACACACACACACACACACACACACCAAGTTTAACCTCAATGTGATGCTTCTTCATACATTTCTGACCTCCTTCCAGGTGTCACCACCCCTGAGATCAGGGTGTCTGTCCCTGAACTAAAGTAAACAGAGCCTCAAAAACTCACTCACTGTTACTCAGCCAACTACTGAGAAGCAGCCAAAGGATCGTGTTTTATAAAACTGGCAGTTGGAGGACGTTGTTTTATACATTAAAAAACTAATAAATAAATGTAATTTCTGTCCACTTTATGCTATTTTAATCTGATGCACCACATGATTTTAATTAAAGTTTTGGATTTGTTGCATTTGTTAGTGTAGTTGTGCACAAATCTATTCATGAAGCTGCATGTTTGTGTGCACATTGATTAATGTGGTAAATAACAATAACTACAGGCTTTCTATTCTATTCTATTCTATTCTATTCTATTCTATTCTATTCTGTTAATTAAAATATTCTGGAGCGAGTTGATTCAGTGACATTAAATAATTCAGATCTTTGAGTAGCCTTGGTTTGGAGATACCGAGATTAATTCTGCCAAAAGCTCATTAGTAACTGGATAACTCCCAAGTCTAAGAAATCTTCATGGCAGTCAGTGATACTATTTTATAAACTTTTTTATTTCAGTGTGTGGTTATTTAAAAAAACTGCAGTTGTTTAAAGCAGACAAACATCTGTGACATTTTTGGTCAGAAGTTTCTGTTTCTGCTGGAATAGTAATGAAATGTGAACATGAAACCTGTCACAAACCCCAGATCTCACCAGTCCTAGAACCCGCTACCTCACAGTCAGAACACCAACTCCCTTCAGTCCACAGACAGTGACGCCCCCACCACGTCAGCAAGTCCTCTATAAATGGAAGTCGATCGCTTCTTCCATGCCTTGGCCCTTCACTTGGTCAGATTATCAATGGGAGCCTCAGCACAGGTGTTGTCCCAGCTGCTTTGAAAGCAGCAGTTATTCGGCCGACCCTGAAGAAACCTGGTGCTGATGTCTCTGTGATCGAAAATTACAGGCCTATCTCTACCAGGCCTTTTACATCTAAACTGCTTGAGAAAGTCGTTCATCAGCAGCTGGTCTCACATTTAGCTGACTCTGATCTTTTTGAGGTTTTCCAATCAGGGTTCAGGTCTGGCCATAGCACAGAGTCGGCTCTACTGAGGGTCCTAAAGGCACATCTGTGGTGCTTCTGTTGTTAGACCTGACAGCAGCCTTCGACACAGTTGACCACGCGATTCAACTCGATCGCTTGGAACGATGGGTTGGGATCAAAGGGTCTGCTCTGGATTGGTTTAAATCGTATCTCCACAACAGGACATTCTGTGTTAAACTGGATGATGTTTTTTCTTCTTGGGAGGGGCTCCGCTGGGGGGTCCCGCAGGGATCGATCCTTGGTCCTCTTTTGTTTGCCATTTATCTGCTACCTCTGGGGTCAATCTTTCGTTAACATGGCCTATCATTCCATCTCTATGCTGACGATTGCCAGATTTACTCTCCATTGTGTCAGGAGAAAGGTCACTCTATCCAGTCCTTTGCGTCCTGCATTAATGAGGTGAAGCCTTGGCTAATGGCCAACGTTCTGCATCTGAATGAGGGAAAGACAGAGCTCATTGTTTTTCACCCCAACAGCAGGAATGTGGATCGTTATGTTGATCTTGGCCCTCTTTCTCCATACTCAAAACCAGTTGTGACCAGTTTGGGGGTGAAAATTGATGCTGGACTTAAATTTGATGCTCACATCAACTCTGTGATCCGGTCCAGTTTCTTTCACCTGAGACGCCTTGCAAAAATCAAGCCCATGCTGTCAAGAGCCCACCTGGAGCGGGTACTCCATGCCTTTGTAATTTCTAGGCTTGATTACTGCAACTCTCTATATGCAGGGTTGTGTCAGTCATCACTGCGTCGCCTTCAGGTTGTGCAGAACAGCGCAGCCAGGTTCCTGACTGGGACCAGGAAACGGGACAGCATGAGTCCGGTTCTGGCCTCCCTGCACTGGCTTCCGATTTGCTATCATTCACACTTCAGACTCCTCGTCTTTGTTTTTAATTTCTTCCAGGGTGGTGCTCCCCCCTATCTGGCCACGCTCCTGAACAGACATTCCCCATCATGCGCTCTGCGCTCCACTGACCAAGGCCTGCTCGTTGCCCCTCGTTCTAGGTGTCGTACTCGCGGGGACCGGGCTTTCTCAGTCCTAGCACCGCCACTCTGGAACCAGTTGCCACTCTCCGTTAGGCTGTCCCCATCTCTGCCAGTCTTCAAGAGTCGCCTAAAAACCCACCTCCTCCGCTTGGCGTTTCCTGAACATGTTTGAATTTGGCCCTCTTTTATGTTGACTTTATCTCACAGTTTTCATTGGTTCACTTTTTCCCTTGTTTTACACATTTGTCTTCTACTAGAATGTTTCACCTTTTTGTAATTTGTAATCTGTAATTTGAATTGCTTTTATTTTCTGATTTATTCACTTTATTTACCTTTGTACTGTTCCATGTTCAGCGCCTTGGGCTTCCTGACAGGGTTGTGGAAGGCGCTTTATAAATAAAGCTTTGATTTGATTTGATTTGATTCTTCTCTACACTCAGAGATTCACGCTCCGAGTTCTGGGCTCCCAGGTACATCTTCCGACAACTTCTGTCTAAGTCAGTCTTCTTTATTTTGGAACATCCCTACAATCCTGTTTCCCTTCATGACTCATCTGATGTCCCTAGATGAAATTGCGTGTCAGTCTGCCCATCATGGCTAGTATCTCCATGCTTGGCTCAAAACACATGCTACAACTCAACCCCAGTTGTGTAGCCCGACAAAAACGGTGTTCACATGAACTGCTGTAACATTTTTTTAAATTAGAGCTTTGTAAAGATGACTGAGACATTTAAGGAAGTCACCTTTGTAAATGACCCCGCTGTGATCAACAGTCACATTATGAATCCAGGGAGAACCAATCCTAGTTTCTCCAAAGGCCATTTGGTTATCTGCTGCAGGTGAGATATGAGTTGATCGTAACCTTTCTCCAGAAACATACTCAACAAAATCTGAACACCCCTTTGAGAAAAATGTGTGAGTTAGAAGAAATTATGTTTATTTTTTGCTAAACAAACTAAATCAATTTCTTTAATCTGCACATGTGCACCAACTGGGCTGACACTGGATGGCGCCATTGAGTTGCCCTGTGAGCCTGTCTGCCTTCAAGAGAAATCAAGACTCTGCAGGTAAAAGCCAGATTTTTCTCACAGTTTTGTTAAATTTGACTGTATATTGTTAAGTTTTCTCATCTCTGAGTCCTTTTAAAGACCTTCGGAACCACAAGCTCAGATCCTCATTTACTAAAAATACAACGTGGAATTTATTCAGACAATGTCTTATTTTGACTATTCGAGTTCTGTGACTCGTAGCATAAGAGTGTTTGCTGAATGTCTAGAAACTGGATAAAATTACACAACTTAGCAGAAGTGTCATTAACTTCTGCTGTTTTGGGAACATCTGGATAGATTTTGAAGCACCAGTCAGGCTAATCTGTGCCACAGCAACAACAGCCTGCTTTCTTAACCGTGACTAATTTCCAGGAGTCATTCCCTCACAGACAATGTGTGCTTCTGGTTATCTGCCCCATTTCTGTTAACAAACAGCTCCACTTCTACAGGCACTTTCAAAATCTACTGAGAGGATTACGTAAAAACATTCTTTCTCTAAATGTTCAAATGAAAAATAATTCAAAGATTTT